GTAAGTGTACAGCCATAATGACATATTTTCGAAACAAGTTTGTTTTATTTGTTTCTTGTTTGCTTTTGACCGCTGTCTGTTTTTTTTTCTTTCTAACTAGGCCAGTCTAGAAGATGTGCGCATGCTCGCTAACAGGTTTCATTGATTCCAAGTATTCATATATACAAAATACGCTATTTACGATAAAGTACAGTACCTATGCTCTTTTCATTCTCTTTCTCACACACACACACACATACACACACATGCCAAGCTTCATTCAATAAATCGCATCTACCACTCATAATACACACAATCATTAGCTAAAAGGATTTAATTAAGGTAAACAATAACACCCACGGAAGGTTGTAATTTATGAAGAAAACATCTGATTGTCTACTACTGTTTATTGATTTACCTTTCAATAACTGAAAGCAGCCACAACTTGTTACAACCCCCACGCACACACACACACACATACCTGTACACGATCTGGTACACCTGAGGGTGGATAGACTTCTGTTTGCCTCTCGAAATGCCCTCGTGTGGCCGAAAGCGTTAAAAGCCTTTGCCAGGTAAGTCCTATTCAGGTGGCGGGTGTTTTTTTCAAAAAAATGAAAGTGCAAATGAGGACGTCTGGCAGCTAAAACCGGTGCTGCAAAAAATAGACTGGTCTACATAGGACACCTGGAGAATTCTGATTCCAAACATACGGAGGCATAGGGGTTTCATAACCCAAACGGAACCTGTTTTGAACATCACAACAATGAGGACGTAGCTCCTGACGCTGCTTCAATGCTATGTGTGACAGAATTCAAGTCAAAGACTCGGGAGTGGTCTCTTAAGATAACCACCTGTTTCATTTTAGGCGAACGAGCAGTATTTATATAAACCCTCGCACAAACTATGGGATTCTGAATAGCGCATCTCTTTTAATGACCATAAGGTACGTAGCTGGTGCGTCGGTGGGACAGCGGTAGAGTGCTCACCCACCACGCAGGTGGTATGGGGTTCGATCCCTGACCGGCACACTCCTTTACCTCACTAAGCCAGTAATAAGACTGGTATAGACGGAAGGTTGGGCATGAGGCCAGCAACCCTATCCCGTAAAAAAATTTAAAAAAATAAATAAAAGCACCCTGCTACTGAAACTTCAAGCCTCTAGCTTGAAGCCCTATGTTCCACGGGGAACGTAAAGGAATAAAAAAGAAAATGTACGTGGTTCGTTTTCTAATAAAATACATAGTTAAAACCGCAACTTGTTAACAAAGTGGAATTCCAATCTACACGTGACTAGATACTTTTAATAGCTAGAAGACACAATATACTAATTATGGTTTGAAAAATTCGAGGTAAAAATAAACTCTCCGTTGACAAGTATCAATATACACAGGAGGTGAGACTGCTTATTAGTTGACTCCAATCACTTGACGTCATGGTGACTGATTACTTTCAGGTCGCCTTGTAACCAGAAGGACCTGGGTTCAAACCTCGGTGGGGGATGCGTACTGCTGAACAATTTCAAACTAGGCTGACGAAATCCCGACCGAAAGCTGCTACCTTGACGTGGTGGTCGGGCTTGAATACCTCAATGACCTAACAAGCTACACTGGCTGAGACGTATGTCGCTTGAGGTCCTACCATGCCAGAAAGGTTGTTTGGATAGCGGTTAGACAAAAAGTAGTTACCCAATCAAATGCTATGACCCAAACAAAGTCACAAAATATCATGCCGGGTTGGTCGGGGCCCGGATTAACAACGACCGCGCTTCCTGCTGCCGTGTCACAGGGTAGAAGTGATAAATATGCTAATGTGACACACGAAATGAAAAAGAACAAACGAAAACAGGCCGTGTGTGACCGGCCTCAAGCAGTTGTCCTCTGGGCTCTGCGGTCACGCAACCAACTTCCACGGTGTGAGCAGTCGAGAAGTAACAATCGCCCTCACAATCCAGAGGCTGACGAAATAGGTACCCAGTACTCCCTCATGATGAAATCCTGTAACCAATCATCAAGTCAAATCCGTGCAAACCAGTTTATCAATTACACTATAAAGTTGATACATAGAATATGGTTCTCATTAATACCTGAAAACAATATGATTTCGGCTGAGCTTTAGCCATTGATTAATGTCCCAGGTGATCAGCTGGCGGATTAAAACAAAAACATTCGGCTTCGAATAGTAGAAGCGAAATTGAACAACTACTTCCGGTTAAGAAAAACATATGCTGAATTATAATCAATTCATAGTAGATACATAGTTAACTTCCTGTAACTCAACTTTAATATGAGAATAAAATCATAAGTTAAACATATGGAAATTCATTAGATATATCGAAAATCAATACAACTTAAAAATAAAGGCCTTTTTTAACCAAAAAACACCTTCTACTATATACAACAGAAAACAAAGAATACAGATCAAAACTGAACACTGTTCAACCATAGGGAAATAGTCAAAGGCAGCAAGGAATGAACCCAGATCAAAAAATGCCAGTAGATGAAGAAGTTGTGGAAGTTATAATGCATGGGTCAAATCACACCGAATTGTAATCATCCAGCAGCCAAATGGTCGACCTAAAGGTACTGGGGTTCCATCTCTGGTGGAGTGAAGGGTGCGTGTTGATGAAAAGCTCCCAACCAGGATGAAACAGCTGCCTCGTATCCCTTGGTTTTCAATGATCCTGCAACTGATGTCAATTCGTCAGGAAATCATCAGACGAAATTCGTCATAAATTTCCCAATTAATTTCAATTTACAAAAAGTAGTAGAAATTATTTACAGAAATAATACATGAATGTATAATAAATAAATAAATAAGAATTAAATTTACCTGTTGTTGACGATCACGTTCTTCAGCACCATGAGCTGTTACCTTTAACCAAGCATAAGTAAGATTGAATGACCGCGATAAACGTTCCATTTGACGACGATAACTTTGACTCAATTCTTCTAAATACCTGATTGGTTTTTTTTGAAGGAGAAGAATATATACAGTACATAGAGCATATCTCATAATGATACAACGGAAAGTACGCTATGTAAAAGGCTGACAATGATGATAATAATTAGTTGAAAATCAACTATCCAGAATAGATTTGTCATGCACTAAGACTATGAGGTGTGTCGGTGGCACAGCGATAGAAAGCTCACTAACCAACCACGCCTCGTGTGGTCCGCGGTTCGATCCCTGGCCGACAAGGCACTCCTTTACCTCGCTAAGCCGGTAATAAGACTTGTGAAGGGCGGAGGTTGGGCATAAGGCTAGCAACCCTATCCCGTAAAAATAGACACCACTGCTAGTGAAACTTCAAGTCTCTAGCGTCGATGCCACAGTGGTTAGGACTCTCGCCGACCATGCACATGGTCCGGGGTTCGATCCCCTACCGGCGCACACCCGATATCTATGGTCGGCCTGCAAAATTTGGGCTACCGATATCCATGCTGAAAATTCCATACTTGTACTGAAAATACGGTGTGGAATCAAGCTGTAATCAAAATAAAATTTTTAAAAAAATAAAAATTAAGGGCCTATGTTCCACTAGGAACATAAAGGAATAAAAAAAGACAATGAGGTATAAACGTACAAAAAGACTAAGAGAATATCAATATACATGTTTACGAAATAGCAATGTACAGTAGATACAAACATGTTTATATGGCGAAGTTCAACAATAGCATCCCAGGGAGTGCGAACGCTCAAATGACCTTGAACGCATGCTAGTCGTCGGTTATATATATGCTGAGATTTTGTAAATTCCGGTTTAATAATACTTTGATAAAGCTATTAGCATTAAATAGCGAAACGTCAGTAAAAACAATATCATTTTTTTTTCATTCATTGGGAAATACAAAAGCCTTTATTATTATAATGAAATATTCCCATATCATGAATCAAAAGTCAATCTGAACAAAGAATATTCTTTTCAATAATTTCTCCTCTTCACGTTCTTACAATTATCGAATATAATATTTGGTGTCGTTACAATAATGATAGCCAGTTATGCGGCGGATACATCCTTTTTTATGTAGAATAACAGATTAGCAGTTATGGAGTGTCAAAATAAATATAGTAGTACTTGTGTGACAAACGTGCTAGGCTGATATCGACTACAAAATATTGTAAAATGGGAGACAATGATGGTGGTTAGTCATAATAGATTTGTAGAGTGTGAGGTAATAATAATACAAATTCATGAATTTATAGTCTCCACTGAATATCAGCCAGAGCAGTAGTAGTGACTGGACTTGCTTCTTCTGCACACAGAGCACCAGTTGTTTCATGCGAATCGCAATAGCCTCTGCTGTTTGGAGTATGCAGTACCTGGATGTTTCCTGATGATTAAGAAAGTTGAAAAGGACTATTCACTATCCGTACACAAGAAGCTTCTGTATATATATACAACTGTAATTCAAGGGTGACGTACCGAGTAAAATAATTACTAACAAGTTAAGAAAATCCATTCAAAGAACTTTTGATGCTGGCAAACTACAAGTCATGTTTTCTACACGACCGATGGTGATTCCTCAATTGAAAGATGAAGTACCTAGACTAGCTACTTCTGACTGCATCTACAAATTCAACTGCGAGAAAGGATAATTGTTCTCTGGTGCATCTTTGCCTTTTGGCGAAATCTTCCCACTTTCGAACAGAGAGAAGCGTGTTCCGCTCGTAAGATTTAGATATGATGTAGAAGGTTTCCGGCTCAGGTGGATGATTTTGATGTGGTTGTGTTCTCTGAGCTACAAATCTTCTCCATCATATTTAAATTCAACTGCACTTGTGTTGGAACATGTTATATTAGCAGTTGCTCTAGGTATTTGATTTTTCGTGCTCTCTCGGGAACATCAACCAATGTGGTTCAATAAAGGTGAAGTGAGAAGCATCAATAGCTCGAAAATTGGAACACCTGGTGCAAACCGGCTGGCCACGAAGCTTATAATGAAGAGTCCTTCTGCATCATCTACCACCGGGTTCCAAACAAACTGCCAAAAGCATCCAGGTACCGCATGCTCCAAACAGCAGAGGCTATCGCAATTAATTCGCGTGAAACAACCTGTGCTTTCTGTGCAGAAGAAGCAAGTCCAGCCACCATTACTGCCCTGGTTGGTTTTCAGTAGAGACTATAAGTGTGGTGAGAGCTGTCTACTAGCCAAATTGGTAGACAGTAATTTACGTCAATATTTACGTTCCCAAGATTTGTCGTGAGAAAATGTGAACAAAGATTGATTCAAAACCGACCACAGCAGACTTTGCGTAGGCGGATGCAGTTAACATATAGAGGATTTGACATTCAAGAAACAGTCACAAATAGATGAAAGATTAACTTTACGTGAGAAACAACCAATCGGAAGACTGTGTTTGTTTGTTTAAATATCCATAGCGATGTACATGAAATATATAAATATGCGTTGATTTCCTTAATAAAGAATCTGTTGCCTGACGCTTGCCTCCTCCCGTTACATAATTTCATGAATTTGTATTATTATTTCCCCTAATTTTTCTGATATTCAGTGTGTAATGATATGTTGATACTATCGAACTGTAATCCATTGATATTATTAGTACTTGCAATTAATAGTGTTCTCTGAGCTGGTTGGTTTAGGCGTAGGCCTAAGCCCTACTTTGGCCAAAGTGGGCGTCCCCTTCGAATTAGAATACAAGAACACAAATCAGCCGTGAAAAGACACGATATATATTCTTTAGTATCAATGCATATAGACAATTATGGACATCAATTTGATGTTTGGGATAATGTCAAAATCTTAGACAGAGGAAACACCAAAAGTGCAGTCAGGGAATTCCTAGAAGCCTGGTACCCAAACGAAAATGCAATTAACAAACACGTTAATATAGACGAAATTTACCAACTAATACAAAGTAAATCAGGTAACCAGAAAGTTTAAAATCCAAGTCAATAGAAAATGGTCAATACATATGTAAAGATGGTTACCGGGAGATGCAATTATATCACTCATGAAGAAATTTAAATCAATTCACTTTATGCTAAATATTGCACTGAAGATGTTGTCTAGAAGCGGGACGCGAAAGCTCCGCAACTAAACCAACCAGCTCAGAGAACATTATTAATTGCAAATCATCCACCTGAGCTACAAATCTTCTCTATTACTATTAGTACTATTGTTATTATGATCGATTATTAAACAGAATTAATGTTGTTAATAACCTTAATTCATTCACTAATACACTATGTATATATGACTGTAGAACCTTATGATACAGTTATCGAAAAGAATATTATTTGCTCAGTAATCATGTCTCAGATGCAAACGAATCAAAGCCTGACTTCATAAGCCAATTGACAATTTGAACTGAAATCTTTTACATTTAATCAATCAATTTAAATAATAATTTTTTTTTAAATACCAAAGGCTATGCTCAAAAATTCATCTATTATGCATTCATTGCATAACAGATATTTTTTTGAGATTGTTGAGAAGTCTATCAAAACTGTTTATTTTGATCATAGACAAAATAAACAAAGAAAATTTGATCAATTTCGTCAACAATCTCGTTCTTAGGTTTAAACAAACATAATTCAAATGTAATTAGTGCATCAAAGTGTAGCAAAGTTTTAGACAGACAAACGTTACAGTTTAAGTTAGTATCACTGTGTTGCAGGTCTGAAGGGGAATTAGTACTGCTGGCGAGTAGGGGTGTGTGCGTTACAACCCAATAAACCAGCCATGATTCCTACGCACTGTGGTAAGTTATTTATTTATTTAAACAAAAAGAAAAACTTGGTACAATATGGCACCAAGAAGATGTGCCACACAAATTGCATGAGGGCTTAGATACTGCCCGGATGCCCAGGCTGAAGCAGGTGACTGTCTTAAAGGACTACCCATCGAGCCTTTGACTTGGAATCTAATCAGCAGGGCAGAGGAGCAGCGCCAGCAGCTACTTTCCCATGGTTGCCGGTGACCAATCCAGGTTCATACGCCATTTGATCCGATTCGATTCTGGAGCTTATGTATCCCATAGCAACTGCTTTTAGTCTAACCGCTATCCAAACAACCTTCTTGACATTGTAGGACCTGCAGGAACATAAGTCGCAGGCAGTCTAGCTGGTTGGTTCGATGCGGTATTCAAGCCCCACCACCACGACAAGGTAGCAGTTGTCGACCGGGCACTCTGAGAAGTGGATGTAGAAAAAACTGACCCAAGAAATCATCCATCCCAGATATATATATGCACTGGTCAATAATGACCTCTTCATACGGATACAAATCCAAACCGGTCATACGTGACTGGCGCTCAGATAGTTGTTTCCTGGCCTCCTCTATGGTTATCCAATATTAATGCGCTTTCTGTATCAGGTATTTCAATCTATTTCATAAATAATGTGTTATGTAATAGCCAGTACGGCTGTAGCTTTGTCAGTTAATGTACTCCAATTCAAGATACTTATTTAACTTTAACAATGTAGGTAGAACTGTAACGACAGAAGACAAGGTCCAGGAAACAGATCCTTTATTGAGAAAATCAACAGATATTTATAGATTTTTATGTACATTATTATCAGCGTTATTGTTAGCAGAGAAGCAACCTCTTCTGATTGGTTGTTTTCCTGCTGAAGGTTATTCTGTCATCCCTTTGTTGCTGTTTCTTAGACAGTTCGGTGATCTACATATATATGCCTGCGAATCGTATCCGCCCACGCTAAGTCTGCTGTGATTGGTTGTTGAATTCCTCAAGGTTGGGCTTTGTTCTTGTTTGTTTTTCTCATGACCCCGATTCGGAACGTAAACACTGACGCGTAAATTGTTGTCTACAATTTTCGGCTTGCAGACAGCTCTCACCACAGAATCACTACCAGGCTTTCCACATATGACTGTAGACATCCAAATCACTCAGAACTCACGATAGATTAGTGCAGAAAACTTATACATCAACTTGAATTTCAGTGGAATTTAATACAAATATAAAATAAACAGTCAAGGAGTGAATATGTCTCAACGATTGAACACTACACATGGTTCACATTTAGCCTTGAGTGTGTGTGTGTGTGCCATATCAAAAGCCTGATGATAAACGAAAATAACAAAAGTTTACAATGGAAATAACAACAAGAATAATAAGAGATTGCTTACCTCATACTCACTGAAACATTACGCTCAATAATACGAACACGATTATTTAGACGCATGTAAGCCGTAGATCTTCGTGAACCACCTAGATCAGCTGGTACAACTACTGCTAAATTAGGATGTTGACGATCAATTTTACGCGTCGGTAATCGATGATCCGATGACTTCATATTTCTACCGATAATAAAATTATCAGTAGATTGAAAATCATCAACTAGTATCTTTTCATCATTCTCCTCAGTAGTATCTGAATAAACTGAATCCGGCATAGATGATGACAAATCAGTGTGTTCACTTGAAAACAGAAAAGACGGTAATTTGGAACACTGAAAAAAAAGAGAAAAAAACAGGAGAAGAAGGAAGAGGGAAACATATGAGATGACCTCAACAAACTAGTAAAGAAGTGTAATTGTAGGATATTGATATCATTGCCAACCCCATCACTTGTGAAACGCAGTCCATTATGAGTGTCAAAGAAATGAAGAAAATACGGATTTATACACAAAAGAGTCTTCTCAGTATATATAAGTCACCTACTGTTATACCATATAAAGAAGGAACATCTAAGTTCCTTCGTAGGATTCTTAATAAAGCAGGAATTAGGGTGGCAGGCAAACCTACAAACTCACTCAGAGACAAGCTTTGTAGGCTAAAAGACCCGGTGAATCCAATTAGACAAAATTATATAATTTACAAAATACCTTGCAATGACTGTGAGTGTGGTAAATTACATAGGTCAAACTAGTAGGTCGGGGGTAGTCAGATTGTCGGAACATAAGAATTTAGCTAAGGTAAGAATGATTGATCCCACCCGAGAAGATAAGTAATTTAGAGAAAACTCAGCAATTGCACTTCACGCATTAACACACAACCACACAATAGGGTGGGAGAGGGTTAAAATTCTAAGAATTAATATAGGTAGGTGGAGAGAGAGAGAGAAATAGGTTGATTACTGAATCCTGCCTGGTTCATTGAGTCTACACCCAACACATGCGACAGAAATGACTCAACACAAATACCAGAGATATGGAAGATATTATAACCACTAGTCAGTCAAATCAGAGGAGGATAATAGATAACCGTAAAATTCTACTTCCAATTCACATAAATTATAACATTCTAACAAGTTACTTATTATGACTATAAAAACACTGGTCTTATTTTTTCCCATCTGATTGTAATTGATCAATAAAACTCATATTAATAATTCTTAATGTACATTATCCCATATTGATTTTTATTCAATTATCTAGTCAATTCCACACATGTATATAAATGAAGAGAAAAAGTTGTGTGAGTAACTTGATATGATTACGAGCAATAGTTTGTGCTCGAAACTTGGTCATCAGTTAATATTACTTACTGTATAACAAACACTGTGTGATTTATCAAAATAAAATCTTATCTACAATGGAGATATACTCTACCACAGTGCCCAAGTTTTATACTTATATCAATTCTCAGTATTTAGTCACACAGGCAACTTTGAAACTGAGGACAATAGACCTCAGTCTATAGAAAAGAAGATAAAAGTGAAAAACCAATTATCGTCTACAATTTCATTGACGCAAAAATGTGAACTGTACGTGAAATGGTTGGAAACAAGCCTTGGATCTGTGTTCCATACTTGTTGTCACTGATCAGAGAGACGTATCGGCAATGTTGAATGAACTCAAGCCCTCTTCTGAGATCTCAATCCGGATCACACATCGTTCTAGTTAAAGACATTACTACTGAGCTGTTCAGGTTTGCAACTAATCTCCTATACGACTGGGATGGATACTTTTAATTGGACACTGAGGTTTTTTTTGCTTCTAGTGGAACATAGGGCTTCAAGCTAGAGCTTTGGAGTTTCACTAGCAGTGGTGTTAGTTTTTACGGGATGGGGTTGCTAGCCTTATGCCCAACCTCTTCCCTTCACCAGTCTTATTACTGGCTTACAGAGGTAAAGGAGTGCCTTGTCCGCTGGGGATCGAACCCCGAACCACATGAGGTGTGGTTGGCGAGCATTCCACCGCTGTGCCACCGATGTACACTGGACACTAGGTTAGTAGTAGTAACTAATGTCATGTATCTAATCTATTGTTTGGTGCTGCTGAATTTTTTTCAGTAATCTAGGTGAGAGAGAATGCATTCATCGGTTGCCGTGATAATTCCCTTGCTATCCGTCTATTTCTTGCTTATTGTTTCCATATATCAATACTTACTAGGCTACTACATTGATGAACAAAGAAATAATGGTAAAGTCCTCCATTAAAAGTACTTTAATAGACACTGACAACTGTTTTGTATTTCCGAACACAGTATTAAATGCATGTCAGAGACACGCACGCACAAACACACACACACATTCATATGATCAACCATATAACCACATATGAGCCAATTCATTAATATAACAATGAATGAATGACCTTACCAAGGTATAATCTCATTTACGCCATTTCCACATAAATTAATCAATATCAATCAAATGGAACCGCGAAGAAGACAATACAACATGTGAACTACTAGTTATTAATACGTGTATTATATTAAGGACACATAGATAAGTAGATAAATAGAATAGTATTAAAATTTAAACGTGTAAATGATCTTTTCACATCCAATATTATTTCTCCGGAAGTACACCTAACATTTAAAAGCCCATCCAAATGTGTTTCAAAGCACAGGCTGGCTAACAAATTACCTTAGATTTAGAGTTTATCAAGTACAAGTAGTTACCTGGGGTTCTAGTGAGAAGTCGTGACCAGTAGGGTGTAGCAGGTTGGGTGTGAGGACAAATACTCGCCGAAGACATTAGCTAGGGGTCGCGCTATGTCGTGAATTGGCAGAAGTTAGAATTCATGGGCCACTGAATCGGGTCCCAGTGGCTTAATGGTATATGAGCTCACCTTGTAACCAGAAGGTCCTGGGTTCGAATCCCTATGGGTGCGTACTGCTGAAGAGTCCCAAACTAGGACGAAACAGCTGTCCAGTACTCCCAGGTTTTAGAATGGTTCTCTAACTAATGTCAGCTCATGATGAAATCCTGTAACCAATCAAATCCCTACAAACCAACACTTGAACACATTTTTCTCTTTTGTTGTGTAGTCAGACAAACACTATGGGGCTTAGTTGTTTGAATTCATTAGGCAACAGAGTGAACCGCTACACGACGCCACACCTTACTTCTACACACCAAGATAATAAAAAATGACAAGAAAGACTAAAAAATAAGAAGTGAAAACAAATAACCTTGACATTGTTTCGTTTTTCTTTGACGAGAAAGACTAATGCATCAACAGCTGTCTTTAAAACAAGCAATAAGGGTTAATAAAGCAGGATGATTTAATGAATTCATCAAATTTCGGTAGAACTCCTCTTCAGCTGAATACTCTACATACACGGATATATATGTACTATTGAAATTACATCGGGAGATATAAGACTGCTAAGCAAATAAACTACATTGAATTAGTCATGTAGAAAGTCAGGTGCGAATGTTTTCCGGGTCAATCTGGGAAAGACCAGTCGCCAATCTTTGACACTTCAAACTGCGTATATCAATTTGATTAGTGTGTTTGTGGAAGCAAATACATAGGCCGTACAGAAAGGCGATTGTCTACTCGCATGATGGAGCTTTTGCCAAAATGGTTGAAAACAGCTGAGTGCAAAATGCCAAAATCCTCAATAACAAAACATCTTGTGGACTATGGACATGATATTGTCATTGTCAGCAGACAAACAAACAGGTAGATGCTTGCAATTTCAGAGGCTTGTGCAATTTGAGTTTATAAACCAGGTCTGTGTGAAAAAAAAAACAATGGTCGTCACTCGAATCTTCCATGGTAATACGTTTTACTTATTATTCTACCTCTTATTATTATTATTCTTGATTCATTTAAAACTATCCTTTATCAGTAGGATTATCTTAACTCACTTCAACACTATTATTATTATTATTATAACTATTACTATTGATATTACTCTGTTTGCAATTTTTGATATATTCTCTAATGACTAATTGTTTATCTAAGTGATGTAATGGAAGCGTAATGCAATTTATCTTAATTTTAATCTCTCACATACTCCTTCTCCCCTTATCTATTTGAACATGACCTGGAAAACATTCTCACCTGTCTTTCTGCATGACTAATTCAGTGGAGTTTTTTTACTTATCAGTCTTATATCTCCCAATGTAATTTCAATAGTACATATATATCCGTGTATGTAGAGTATTCAGCTGAAGAGATTCTTCCGAAATTTGATGAATTCATTAAATCATCCTGCTTTATTAACCTTTGTTGCTTGTTTTAAATTTGTATCAGGAAATAAATGTTTTCAACAGCTGTCTTGGCTGTAACCAACCAGCAGAGCAACAACGAACAGCACCCATCACCAATAACGGAAGAAGTTTCAAAAAGAGATCACTTCCTTCACCTATCCAGGAAGAACCGTTCCAACTACAGGCATACGATACGGATGAAGATGTCAAAGCCAGCCAGCTAGAATCGGAAAGACAAGGCAGACATCATCATTCATCATCAATCTGAAATCAGTGTTAGAATCTTCTGTACTCCGCCTCAGCACAAAGAAGAAGATTCGTACTTTCAACACAAACGTCAAGTCAGTCAGTCAGTGCTTCTATATGGGTCAGAAACTTGGCCAGCGCCGAACGAAAAGTATTTCCAACAACCATCTGCAGACTTTTATGAACAACTCCCTTCGCTCCGCACAAGAAACTCTGCAATGGAACAAACTAACCAATAACCTGTCGTTCAATATATATATATATATTTATATTAGGAGAGAACAGAGATGCATTGGGCATACGTTGAGGAGGCCGTCGAATGACATCGCACGCAATGCAGGCAATCGCTCGAGTGGAATCCCAATGAGAAATAACAAGTGGGTCATCACATCGAGGGTGACACGGAGGAGATCGAGAAAGGAAGGGATAAGAGACTATGGGTAATCGTCGACCAAGCTGAAGAGGATGGCAGAAAATCGAAGAAAGTGGAGATGTGTTGCTGAAGCCCCAATGTTCCACTTGGAACCCAAGGGAACAATAATAAATAATAATAACAGTGCCTTCGCAGCGTACTGATGTACAGTGAGAATTACCAACGAGGAAGTCTATAGTGCAGCGAATCAACCGAGAACCTATCACTTAACAAATATGCTGAATTAAATGAAGATGGAATGCACACACACACAGACTGAGGAGATCGTTGAGCGACATCATGAGCTGGGCAAGACCCTCAAGTGAAACGCGAAAGGGGAACGACATGATGAGTGTCAAACAACCACATGAGGTAGATCCTGTGAGGAGGAAATAAGAAAATATGGGCAATTGTGGGGCTAGTTGAAAAAAGAATGAAGAGAACGAAATGAAATCAAGATATGCTTCTAAAGCTGTGTGTTCTGACTGACTGACTGGTTTCAACATAAAAATTTGCACAGATATGCACCAGTCCAACTTGCCACACTCCCTCCACACAAAACACGGCAAGAAAAGAGAGTAAAGAGAGATTCAAAATGAAGAGATAATAAACAGAAATGTGAGTAAGGGTATAAGAATCGTAATATGGTGGAAGGACAACAGAGATTTATTGGATATGATAATTGACAAGGAGTGAATGTATCTGAGCTATTCAATGACAACTAGGATTTTGAGCCGTATCACCAATTGTCGCCAGCCTTCATTGGTTCTTAGCATCCTGAAGACCCAACCAGTCAGACAGTCTACACCTCCATGCATGGCTGGCTAGCTGGCTCAAACTACCAGATATGGATTTGTTTTTACGAGTTGATCACGGATTGATATCAGTTAGAGAACCATTGAAAACCACCAGTCACAGGGAGTACTGGACAGCTGTTTCATCCTAGTTCTTTTGGGAATCATCGGCAGTACGCACCCAGTGGGATTCGAACCAAACTAGGATGAAACAGCTGCCCAGTACTCCCTGTGGCTGGTTTTCAATGGTTCTCTAACTGTTATCAATCCGTGAGCAACTCATAAAAACAAAACTAATCCTTACAAACCAATTACAGAAGATATGGATTTGATTGACTGATGAAGCCATGTTTTTGTTTGACCACCACTAGCAACTCTTTCCCAACCTGATCCTATGTCAGTCAGCTAAGATTGCCTGTCGTCGAGAAAGGCAGCAATGTCTTGGTGTGCATTAGTATCACATATCCTACCCAAAACTTCAACGCCTAACCTCAGAGAACAGAATGCAATGGAGAAGTGCCACTGAAACCCAAGGGAATAATAACAATAATAAATATAAAATACTGTTTTTAGTGGATAGCATTAATTCCCCGCTTAGATTATTCCCAAATATCTATGAAGCCTGGGGTTTTCTTCTGTGAATACAAAACAACACTCAAACAAAAGTCACTGATACAATAAAAAAACCACACTGTAAAACACACACAGACAGAAGCAAACTCACCTTGTTCGTCGTAGGTCTATTCCACAAAATTTTATTCAACTGTATCCACTGCCAATTAACAGAATAACAAACACCATAACCCTCCTCATCATCAACATCACTATTAATATTATCCAAATCATTAAATGCAAAGTCTTGTGAACCAATGAAATTCAACTGTGGCCTAGTTCTATTTCTTTGTATATGCTGATAAGCCATACACATGTGTAGAATACTCTTGTCTATATCATAATAATAATAATAATCATAATCTGATGGCTGATCATTGAAGAAAAGTGTTAAATTCAATTGTTTCACAGCTTGTTGACATTTATCTAACTTGGAGATATGAAATGTCTGTAACCAGAGGAGAAAATCGCCAATATTATCATTCGATGATGTTTGAATATTATTATTATTATTATTATTATGATTATTATAGTATAGGGTGTAAATTTCATTCAATGATATTAGGCAGGATTTCAATTGCCATAAACCTTCAATTTGATTAACTGTTAAATAGGCTAGTGAATCTTTACATAGACGATTTGTAAAACCTTGTTGACTGAAAAGATAACTGATAATTGTATAATGCTCTGATGTTGGCACAATTTCAAGTGGATTGTAATAATTTGTACTAGAGTCTGAAAAAAACAAATACACAAAAAAGAAATAGAAATAGAAAAATCAAAGAGGAATTACGAAAAACAAAACAAAATACTATGAACCACTCAGTGGGTGCGTACTGCCGATGATTCCCAAAGAACTAGAACTAGGATGAAACAGCTGTCCAGTACTCCCTGTGACTGGTTTTCAATGGTTGGTTCTCTAACTGGATATCAATGCGTGGTCAAACCCATACAAAAAAACCCTAATCTTTACAAACTAAACTCAGTGAGAAGTCGTGACCAGTGAGGTTCATCTAGTCAACAAGTGTGAGGATAAAGTTCCCACCGATTTCGGAAGTTGTATCAGCACCAACGGACTGATTGATTGGTGACGAAATCTCAGCACGGACCCAAAAATCTCGAGCTGCTTTCGCTAACTTACACCGTCTCTGGCGTAGGCGTGACATCCGGCTATCAACCAAGGGACGTGTGTACTGCTCAGCAGTTCGCTCCGTCCTTATCTATGGTGGTGAGACGTGGCCATTGAGAGCGGAAGACATGAAAGGCTGGACTGTTTTTCATCATAGATGTCTACGATCTCTCTCTCGCGTTAGGTGGTATAATAAAGTAAGTAATGTTGACGTTAGGAGTAGAGTGTTGGGCAAAGAGGGAAGATCAATCAACGAGGCGATAAAGTTACATAGATTGAGATGCCTAGGCCACGTGCTGCGCATGCCTAACCATCGCCTCCCCCGACGGACGGGCATTACTAGCTGATATACGTGCAGGTTGGAAAAGAGTAAGTGGTGGCCAAACAAAAACATGGCATCAATCATGATATCCTTGACAGCTAAACTGAGTCAGGTAGGGAGATGCAGACTTCCGGGTTGGGTCCCGCCCTCGGGACTCTAAGAATCAATGGCTGGAGACACTAGGTGACATGGCTAAAATTCGTTGTCAATGGCTTATGCAGATGTATTCAGTCTCTGTAATCTTTCATATTCCTTTCTACCATTACTCATTCTGTTTCACTCTTATACTTGTCAAAACTCTATTGATTCTCTTCACTCATTTTCTTGTCTACCTTTGTGTGCTCTTTGGAACGTGGCAACTCGAACTGCTGCACTTCGGTGCCAAGTTCTATGTTGAATCCAGCCAGCCAGTCGCGCTAAATGCATCAGGAATTGGTAGAAGTTAGAATCCATAGGCTGGTTGGCCATTGAATCGGGTCCCAGTGGTTGAATGGTATACGAGCTAGCTTGCCTTATAACCCGAAGGTCCTGGGTTCAAACCTTGGCGGTGGGTGGGTGCGTACTGCCGATGATTCCCAAAAGAACTAGGATGAAACAGCTGTCCAGTACTCCCTGTGGCTGGTTTTCATTAGTTCTCTAACTGATATTAATCTGTGGTCAAACTTTTATGATAGATAGATGGGTAAAACAACACTGAGAAGGCTCCTGTGTGTGTGTGTTGCATAATATAAAGGGGGCAAATCAAGTTTAGTTCAATAGAGAGAGTGTGTGGGAGGGAGGGAAGAAAAAACTAATATATAGTGATAATAGCCTACATACAAAAATTTTAATGCTTTATATTTTATAATAAGCAAATTACAAATGAAATAAATTATTAATAGCAAGGCATAAAAAGAAAACTAGTTTTAAAAAAAAAAAGAAAAAACACCAACAAGAACACATGCAACCTTTCATCATCATATGACACATGACTAAATTATTATGCCTACCAACCTTGTTGCACAGATGTGAAAAACTGTGAAAATGTTCCAAACACTGCACGTTTTACAGCATCTAAAATAGAATACAGAAGAAAAGTATCAAAAGCACTCAATTAATTATGAAATGAATAACCTTGTTTTTATAAAAAGGGAATGAAAAAAACTAGATAAAGTAATTGTGGGTTGTGATGTTATGTACGGCAGTGAACGCTTGAGTACTGGTGGGTGAGCAATATTGAAGTTAGGCTTCGGTCGACTGTTAGGTGAGGAGGTGAAATCAATCAATGAGGTTGTGAAGCAGTTACATCGATTGAGTGAGATGGTTAGGATATGTGTTACACATGCACACCAAAACATCGCCTTCCTCGACGATGGGCAGTGTTAGCTGACTGACATAGGATCAGGTTGGAAAAGAGCTGCGAGTGGTGGTCAAACCAAAACACGGCTTCATCAATCAATCAAATCTATAACAGTTACTTTAAGTCAACCAACCATGTAAGGAGGTGTAGACTGTCTGACTGACTGGTTGGGGTCCGCGGAATGGTAAGAATGAGTGACGGCTGGAGATAATCAGTGATATGGCTCAAAGTCCTCGTTCTCAATGAGTAGCACAGAAGCACTCAACTCTATTGTTCTTCCATACTACTTTTCTTTCTCCCTCATTCACTCTTCTCTTTATTATCTCTCTCTCTCTCTCTACTGGTGAATCTGTCCTTATTCTCTACTCTTGTTTTTTGCTGTCGAAAGAGGGAGTGTGGCGTGTTGAACCGGTGCACTTCTGTGCAAAGTTCTATGTTGAAACCAGGCAGTCAGTCAGTTACCAACTCATCTTTAAAGACAATACACAGGGAAATACGTAAGTTAGATGTATATTTCAGAGGGATTTGGTCATAATAATACGGATGAAATTTTAAAAATTCTGCCTAGTTCTATGTAGTATTTCATAAATTACACCGTATAAAGTCAAATATACTTTCAATACATAAGTTACCGATTAAGATTTAAGGCGATAACTATTAGATATAACCGAGTCTTATTTTGCCCACCTTCACATTTACACGAGTAAGATAACATAGATGCTTTAAACTTTGATTCCGACTATAACTACAGAATGTGAACCACGCTACCGTATACGGCCAAGACCAACGGCGAATAACCACAACATGAGTTGTTAAGTGTCACCCGTCAATCACTTGCATATATGCATGCAGTTGACAATGAACCACACCTATTGTGTCATATGCTAATGATACTACCTGGCCGTCTGAACTTCAGTGTATTTGGAGTGGGCTTAGAACCTGTGACCGAATGGTTGAAAGTTAAGTGCCTAGACCAATGGGTTATAGCTCTGCATTTCAAGAATCGGTACCAACAACTTCTTTGGACTACTCATTCTACCTTAACCTCTGTCTGATAAAATAACACGTTGAAGTAAACTGTAGAGAAGCGAGATTAGACACATGTCTTAAGTAACTTAGGCCATAGACTGGAAGCTGAACTATTGCAATCCTCATAAAGTGACGCTACATAGTGAAGATCAAGCGGACAGAAAGAATTAGCAACAAGAAACTCTGGGAACGAACCAACCAAGAATCTATTTATTGCTCAACAAATATGTCGAAGAAAATATAGGTCGATCGAACACACGCCGACGAGACTGTCGGGTGACATCGCGTGCCAGGCCCTTAAGTGCAACCCGAATGAGAAACGACGAGGTGGTCATCCGAGGGTGATATGGAGACCGTCTGAGGAGGAGATGAGAGATTATAGGCATTCGTGGACTATAGAGAACGGGACAAAGTGGAGATGTGCTGTGTTGACGCTATGTTCCACTCGGAACCCAAGTAAACAATAATAATAATATGATAATACATAACGGAGACAACATTACGATAACAACGATAACCCAAGTACTTGAAACCACTTTGTGGTTGATTCCTAAAATCGTCGTATAATGGGACACAATGTACTGATGCAAATCACCCTAGACTATTAGACCAAAAACTTGGGGATTTGATTAGTTACAGGATCGATCACGAGCTAACATCAGTTAGAGAACCATTGGAAAACCAACAGCGAGTACTAGACAGCTGTTTCGCCCTAGTTTGAGACTCTTCATCAGTACGCACTCGTCGCCATGGTTCGAACCCAGGACCTTCTGGTTACGAGGCGAGCTCGTAGACCATTAAGCCACTGGGGTGAAACATCTGTCCAGTACTCCAGTGCTGGTTTTCCAATGGTTCTCTAACTGATGTCAGCTCGCGATCAAATCCCTGCAAACCAACACTAACATATTGATGTCGCTAGTGACTGGCTCTATACAGGAAGTACCCGGGGTTCTGTTGAGAAGTAGTAACCAGCGAGGTCTACTAAGTCATGCAAGAGGATATTTACTCGCCCGTGACATAGGCTGCGCTAAATATATCACAAATTGGCGGAAGTTGGAATTCAAGAACCACTGGGTCGGGTCCCAGCGGCTGAATGGTCTACGAGCTCGTCTGGCAACCAAAAGGTCCTGGGTTCGAACCTACAATGGATGTGTACTGCTGGAATAGATTACTGTTTTTAATTCCTAGTTATACGAAAAAATGACATCAGGTTATTATTAGATGCAGCTAACAGGACAGTTGTAAAGTGTATGCAATCATATTTCCCCGGGATATCGAACATTCTTTTACTTTACTAATCAATGTTAGGAGGTATCAGAGTCGGACTTAGATTTCTAGTTTTGTATACCACGGCGTTGCTACAATCATTCACTATGAAAGTCACAGACTTACCACTACATTATTCAGGTCGTTATTGATCCCCCCCCCCACCTATAAGAGTAGATTATTACGCATATACAGTGGTCACTGAATAGTGAGTGACTCATAGAACTACTTACTTCCACATCTACTTATCTTGCAGCCCTACCACCTAAAATCATATTTTCTTACACGTAATAGACTGTGAAGTTGTGATTGTTATATACCCCACCCCATCCCCCTCTAAATTTGCTTATTTCATAAAACTAATTATACTTTGCAGTTATTGTGCATTCGTGGATATTGTCTTTTTCATCTTTTTGAAGGCTGAACACCAATCGGTTGGTTGCTAACCAGTCGTTTAACCTATCTGGGAACTTAGTATTTGTCAGGGTCAATTAAGCCGCAGTCAGAAGAGTGGTTAACTTTTTCTACTGTGCTGTTTAAGACAGTAAACACTACCATCCTATCAATCAAGTAAAGGTCTGTCTTCTCTCTTGATTTCGCAGGAATAATTGTAAAGAAACTAGCTAGCTGTATTTCAAAAACTATAAACTTCAAGAGTGGTCAAACATCGTAATCTTATTGTGTATCAACTGCGATTTGAGCTAATTCATTGTGAACATGATGAGGAACCAAATGACTGTATTAATTAGATGTTTGGTAGAGGTTACAGTCGATATATTTTTGGTATATGCAAACAGCAGATACCAAGGTGAAAGAAACCTATATAACATTACATCACTAAATGCTAGAAGTCTGTAGGATAGGCATTTAAACGAAACAGTATAATGATAAAGTTCATGATTCAATGATGAGACCTATACTATCAATTGTGAATTCACTCTTCCATCGAGTTGTTAGTCGACAACAACTAATTAAACATACTCTGGGGGATTTGTTAAAAAGGCTGGCAAATTTAATGTTGAATAAATGTATGGTCTCTTTCGTTTTGACCTCCCTGTTCACACAGATTCCGCTTCATGAAACTTTAAATATCATCTGTCAGTACGCTGTTCTCCCGACTTTACAGAAACTTTCCTTGTTGTGTATCAAGATCTGGCCATTGAAAGTGTAAGACATGAAAAGGCTGACTAGTTGTCATTTATTATAGATGCCTGAGTCCTATCTCCCGTGTGTGTTAGGTAGTATAATAGGGTGCGCAATATGGAAGTTAGGCATCCGTGGGGTGCTAGGTAGGTGGGAGGGGAAATCAATAGACGAGGCTATGAAGTTATATCAATTGAGAGGGTTAGGACATGTGTTACGCATGCATGTCAAGCCATTGCCTTCCTCGACGCCGGACAGTGTTAGCTGACATAGGATCAGGTTGGAAAAGAGCTGCTAGTGATGGTCAAACCAAAACATGGCTTCATCAGTCAATGAAATCCACAACAGTTAGTTTAAGCCAGCCAGCCAGCCACGTAGGAAGGTGTAGACTGCCTGACTGACTGGTTGGGGTCCTCGGGACGGTAAACACCAATGGCTAGAGACAATTGGTGATATGGCTCATAATTCTCGTTCTCAATGGCTAGCGCAGATGCATCCACTCCTTGTGACTTACAATTTCCAATGAAACTATATTGTTCTTCGTTATTACTCTTCTTTTTGTCTCACATCTCTGTTTACTGTCTCTATTATGCATTTCTTCTACTTTCTTCTCTTACTTTGTGTGCTACATGGAGTGTGGCGACTCGAACTGCTGCACATCGGTGCAAAGTTGTTCTATATGTTGAAAACAGACAGAGACAGACAGATTTGCTTTCGCATATATCGATGATTGTATTGTCGTATTATCTCTGTTACATATCAGAGGTGTGAAATATCTTTTTTTCTCTCTCTTAAATGTTGTCTGTTCAACTGAAAATAAGTTACAGTTATCATCATAGTTATTTTGGTTGGTGAAATGATGCCAAAAAGAAAGTCATTACCAAATTCAATAGTGCTTACTTGTCAACCGAGAGACTATACTGATTTCATCAACCACTTGACTGAATGTTTTATTACGTAATTGTAGTGTTAAATTATTGTTTAGCAGAGTATTCTTAATTTCATCATTAGGGACTAGAATAGAGCCTTTTTTCTCTGTTGTAGGTTTTGTACTTGTAGTTGTAGGTCTAGTTGTTGTTGTTATAGGGAGATGAGATTTTCGAGTTGGTGGATTGACAGTATTCAACAGCTTTGTAGTAGTATGACAAGTAGGCGGAGAAGATCTCTCAGCATCACCACTATGGTGTTGACGATAAGATAAAGCTAAAAATTTAAGGAGAGAGAAAAGAAACAACCATTTCAAATCATCTAGTTTTAATGAAGATTAATAAAAGCGTATAAATGTGGCGCCAATATAATGAAATTTAGGTGAGAAACTTCGCACATAATGTAAAGCATTAAAGCAAATAAGCGTTTGGACTCAACTGCTCGAAAGAAAATTTTTATTTGACGATATCAGATAGTTGTAGGCAATCAGCCACAGGAAGCCTTGCTCAATCTATGTTTCGTGCTAGTCGGCACTCATCAGTCAGCAAGGCGTATCTGAAACCTTACAGGAACTCATGTCCCTCCTTCTGAGTTTCGAACCCGCGTCACCCAGTGCCGCCTGCAGTCAGAGACGTTATCACTGAGCTAGGTATTTGGGCTGGCGATTGACCTCTTGTAGGATCCTAGTGGGTATTTTGATTGGACACTGGTAACTAGAGTGATGTGTCTAGTCCTTTCTTTCGTGCAGACTGAATTCTATCGGTTAGTTTTGCAATGTGACCACCATTCTAGGTGGCTAGCCATCACGGTGCACATTGATTTGATGTTATTTTGTTTCCATGTACACCCTGAGCACAACTATTTCATCAAACTATTTATTTTATTACGTAGCTCTTCTTTAACGATCGTTTGTGACAACTCATCACTTTTGTTACTACGCTCTTATATCAACATCCAATTCATCTGAACTTACTAATTGTATTTTCGTTTGACAAATTTAGTGTACACACACACATACAAAAGAACCATATATATTTGCGATTGTACAGCTATGCAAAATGAATTCGCCACCGAAAAGAGACTCCTCCCTGAACTATTGGTCTTCTGTCTATCAATGTCCGAATGGGGATTTTTCATGAACTTAAAAACTCTATACAATCCCATGAGTCATGAAACAGGCATCAATGGTTTAAAAATGGATTCGCACCTTCCTTTCATCATATTTTTTTCCCTCGTCCATCACTTTTACTTCGTCTCTTTCATTCTCTGGCCTTTGGGGATATTTTTTTTCTTCATATCACCTACTACATTATAGAGTACAAGATTGCGGTGTGAACTACATAATCTATGCGAAACAGAAATCCCACAGCTTATATTTTTTTCCTTCACGTTCCCCAGTGGAATATAGGGCCTCAAGCTAGTGACTTGAAGATTCTGTAGCAGGATGGGGTCGCTAGCTTCATGCCCAACCTTTCCTCTTCACCAACATTATTTCTGGCTTAGCGAGGTAAAGGAGTGCGTCAGCCGGGGATCGAACCCCGGACCATGTGTATGGTCGGCGAGCGTCCTAACCACTATGCCACCGACGCACAGCTTATATTCTGGACTTTATTGACTGGATTAGAAAAGAGGTTTACTGTTAAAGCAGGCGTAGTTAAATGTCTAACAAACCGAGTAATAGCACTGAGTAGCACAAAAAAGACCTAAATGATGAAATAAAACAGATAGAAGAAGCGCTGGTATCAAATAACTATCCTATAAAATTCATTAGGAAGATCAGAAAAGACCAAAAGCAAAATAAAAATAATGGTGAAACAAATAATGACAGCATAAAAAAGAAGAAATATAAGGCATCTTCAGTAGTTTTATCATATAAGGAGGGGACATCTGAGACCCTACGTAGGATTCTTAATAAAGCAGGAATTAGGGTGGCATTTAAACCTACAAACTCACTCAGGGAGAAGCTCTGTAGGTTAAAGGACCCAGTTGACCCAATTAGACAAAATAATATAATTTACAAAATACCTTGCAATGACTGTGAGTGTGGTCAACTACATAGGTCACACTAGTAGGTTGGGGGTAGTCAGATTGTCGGAACATAAGAATTTAGTGGCTAAGGTAAGAATGATTGATCCCACCCGAGAAGATAAGTAATTTAGGAAAAAGCTCAGCAATTGCACTGCATGCATTAACACACAACCACACAATAGGGTGGGAGAGGGTTAAAATTCTAAAAAGTAATCTATGTAGGTGGAGAGAGAGAAGTTGATTACTGAATCCTGCCTGGTTCATTGAGTCTACACCCAACACAACACATGCAACAGAAATGACTCAATGCAAATACCAGAGATATGGAAGATATTATTACCACCAGTCAGTCAAATCAGAGGAGGATAATAAATAATCTTAAAATTCTATTTCCATTCACATAAATTATAACATTCTAACAAGTTACTCATTTATTTTGACTATAAAAACACTCGTCTTATTTCCCATCTGATTGTAATTGATCAATAACACTCATATTATTAATTCTGAATGTACATTATCCCATATTGATTTTTATTCAAATATCTAATCGATTCCACACATGTATATAAATGAAGAGAAAAAGTTGTGTGAGTAACTTGATATGATTATGAGTGCAATAGTTTGTGCTCGAAACGTGGTCATCAGTTAATATTACTTATGTATAACACTGTGATTTTATCAAAATAAAATCTTATCTATAATGGAGATATACTCTACCACAGTGCCCAAGTTTTATACTTATATCAATCAAGAGGTTTACTCTCACTATCGAGATGGCATATTCTCATGAGTGGGTGGTTCAGAAAAGAACCAAACACACTCTAATGACACACTGTTAGTGTGTCATTTGAACAAAATTTAACCTCATATTCCCTAACAGTAGTACTCAATAAAAAGAAATTAAAAAAAAACAGAGGACAATTATAAACTCACCTGAACAATACGGTTTATGTATTAATAATTGTACCAGCCGATTATTCATACAGACTCCGCCGTTATTTTTAGAAAAACTCAAATATTTATCATCTTTTGATGCGTGCATACTCCTCTTATCTTGTTGATGCTTCATTGAAGTAGAGAATAACATTGAATAACGATCGATCATTGGATCGACCTCATTATTATTATTATTATTATTTTCATCTGATTTACTGATACTATCATGAATTTGACTGTCTTCAGTAGTTGGAAACGGTGAAGGCGTCACTGAAGGCTCCAACTCATTCGATTTTGAATGATTCTGTTGTAAGTTGGTATTCGCCTGATTATTGGATGGTGACGGTGATGATGATGGCGATGGCGATGAGACAGAAGGATCATCTTCAGTGGATTGATGAGGGGGAACATTCGATTCTGGTGAATTATTTCCATCGTTCACTTGAACCTTTTCACTTTCAGCTATAATAATAATAATGAAACATAATTTAGAAGAAATTAGGAAATAGAAGAAATATAAGTTAATTAAGCAATTATGATAACAAACTTTAATTCAAACATAAAAGGTACGTTTTAAAGCGTTCCTTTGTAGGGAATTGATTTGTTTTACATCTAATCACGGATTGTTATCAGTTAGAGAAACACTGGAAAATCAACAGGCAGTATTGAACAACTGTTTCGTCCTAGTTTGGGACTCCTCAGGAATATTCGCCCACAGCTCGAGTTCAAACCTAAGACCTTCCGGTTATAAGGCAAGTTCGTAGAGCATTCTCAGCCATTGAGACCCGAGTCAATGGCCAGCCTATGAATTCTGACTTCTTCCAATTCCTGATTTTACCGCGATCATCAAAAATATATGAATTCTAATCTGTCTTCGTCAACGCACAAGACTGAGTAGTATGTAGCATAATCATCATCACCAAACAACAAGGCTAATTTATAGCCTAGTGTTAACTAGAAATCTGCTTCACGTGACTATTATTATTATTTATTATCTTCCTTTGCATTCCAAGTGGAGCATAGGGTTTCAAAAGTGAGAGCTCTAAAGTTTCTGTAGCAGCAGTTTTATTTTTACTAGCCCCCCCCCCCTTTTACCGGCCTTACTACCAGCTTAGTTGGGTTTAGAAGTGCATTGGTGGAGGATCGAACACCGGACTATTTGCGTGGCTGGTCAGAGTTCTACTGTTGAACCACCATCGCAGACGACTGATTTCTAATTAGTGTATTAACCATAACTTCTCGGTTACCTGATAAAAGTTATCGTCATTCATTTCAGTAGCACTATATGCCGTTTGCGTCGGTGGCACAGCGGTAGAATGCTCGCCAACCACGCCCCATGTGGTCCGGAGTTCGATCCCCGGCCACGGACGCATTCCTTTACCTCGCTAAGCCAGTAATAAGACTGGTACAGACGGAAGGTTGGGCATGAGGCCAGCAAACTCATCCCATAAAAAATTGATAAAAGCCCTTCTGCTACTGAATCTTCAAGTTTCTAGCTTGAAACCCTATGTTCCACTGAGAACGTAAAGGGATAAAAAAGAATTCATAGACTGGATGACATGTGAGCCATAAGCCATTGATCTATACAAGTTTCCCTCTTGATACCATCTACAAGTACGGTGTACATGAATATATTCTTATCTTTACTATTGTTGTTATTATTATTATCATTATTGTTATATGAGTGAAACACAAACTTCGTACATTATGGACAACAAGAGACGCACCACACGAAATCTCACAGTCTGGGCAAGGGGTGGGACAATGCTCGAACGTCTTAATGGACCACCCTCCCGAGTTTCTGACTTGAAGTCTGGCCCACAAAGCAGTGAAGCAACGCAATGATCTATGTGTACCCATGGTTGATAGTGACCAAAACAGGTCCATACGCCACTCGATTTGATCGGATTTTGAAGCCCATGTTCCCCATTAGTTTGAAATCAGGATTTCCTAGCTCTCCCAAGTAGACCAGTGCATCAGTCAGGTTATAAGCGCTAGACGTTCACATTCGCCCTTAACCCCTACTGAGCATTAAGGCTGTGAGTAGGAGATTAAAGGAAAATTTTAAAACTTGACTTGAATTACCCCTGACAGTCTGAGTATAGCATACCGACTTAAAAGTCTTAAACAGTTAGTGGACACCACATCGACACCCTAACCAATTACTCAATTCACTGTGCATAACTGAGTAGCACTAAACACACACACACACACAAACACAAACAATACATGAAGTTTACAAGCATTTTTAAATACTGAAAGCATAGAAATAACTAGTATACACAGAACTATTAAACAGTAATGTGGAGCAATGTTTATTTCAACAAGCAGACGTGACAGTCCATAGGGCTACGCCTAATTTATTAGACGAAAGAGAATTTCTGCCTATAATCAACTGATTGAAAATTAAAAACAATCAATAATAATGTATTGATTCAATTACAATAACTAATTTATATAATTTTGATTGGACACTAGTAACTAGTGTGACGTGTCTAGTCCTTTCTCTTTGGTGCAGACTGAATTCTATCTGTCAGGTTTTGGAATGTGGCCACCATTCTAGGTAGCTTGCCATCACGGTGCACATTGATTTGATAACAATAGATGGTCGGACGAGTGACAACTAGCAAGAAACCTAGGTCAAGGAAGGCTTCCTGTGACCGATTGCCTCCAACCATCTAATATCATTAAATCAATGTGCACGGTGATGGCGAGGCACCTAGTATGGTGGCCAAACTGCTAACCTGACCGATAGAATTCAGTCTGCACCAAAGAGAAAGGACTAGACACATCACACTAGTTACTAGTGTCCAATCAAAACATCTACTACAGTCCTACAGGAGGTCAATCGAGAACCTGAATGGCTAGCTCAGTGATAACGTCTCTGACTGCAGCACTGTACTGGGTGACAACGCGTGTTCGAATCTCAGAAGAAGAGACATGAGTTCCTTCAAGGTCGCAGGTACGCCTTGCTGACTGGTGAGTGCCAACTAGCACGAAACCTAGGTCAAGCAAGGCTTCCTGTGACCGATTGCCTCCAACTATCTAATTTATATAACTCTGAATATTTCTCCTCTTGTTGTATTATAGTGAAATATTGTAAGAGGAGATTTAGTACAATTATATTAGTTCAATGAACGTTCACAAAGAGGTGATTAATAGTATAACAACAGAATTAAGGGAATGTATTCACACATATACATTTTGCTTTTAAGCAAAAAAATTTTCTAAAACATTGTCATTAGAGTTTGAATAAAGCAAGAATAACAGTTTGTACACAGGTTGAAGAAGGTTTTCAATGAAAACGATAAATTTGATCCAATATACAATATATTCACACTACTGACAATATCATCAAAGCATCGAGCTTCAGTTCTCAATAATGAAATCTAAGAATTCTGTTGATTCAATATGCGACTAAGTAATATGTCGAAGACGGTTGAGAGAGGATGGTAGAGTTTGCAAAATTGAGAAATGAAGCTCAATCCTCAGTAGTGTGAATATATATTGTATACCGGATCAAATACATCACAATTTCATTCAAGAACTTTTTTCACACCCTGAATAAACTGTTATTCATGCTTTAATCAAATTCATAAAGAGGAATAAATGTATGAATTTTCATTGGAGATAAAATTTCACAATCAACAACTAATGATAAAATATCATTGGAATTTGTGAGATTATCTTCCCTGACTTACTACTCATTATATTATGTAATATTTAAACAAAATAAGATAATAAAAAGTTATAAATCCATATCATCCTACAGAAGACTGAAGAATTATTGCACTAGTTATTACTAGTAATAGTTAATTTCAACAAGTTGTTGGAGGTCGTCGGCAGGAAGGCATATATACATATCTACGAGGGGACAAATCACAGTTCAGTTCTTTCCAGGTTGCTGATACACTTTGCTGGCAATTGCCAATGAATCAGTAAACCAATAATTCAAGGGCTTCTACTTGCCAATCGCCTCTAAGCACCACCTAATATCCATTCAAAATGTACCACAATAGTGTGATTTGATTTACCTGGCGTGGCGTGGTGATCACACTCAAAACTTCATTGATAGAATTCAGACAGACCCAATAACGGAGGAATGGACACATGATATCGCTTACATCCCAACTACCAAAGTACTAAGCGATTTTAACAAAAGTAAACTATTGCACTTAAAAGCCAACAGAAGACGACCAAACATATGTGATGATATTAGATGGTTGGAGGCAATCGGCCACAGGAAGCCTTGGACCTAGGTTTCGTGCTAGTTGGCACTCACCAGTCAGCAAGGCGTATCTGCAACCTTGAAGGAACTTATGTCCCTTCTGAGATTCAAACCCGCGTCACCCAGTCACCTAGGTCCAAGGCTTCCTGCCGATTGCCTCCAACCATCTAATATCATCACAAACAATGTACACCGTGATGGCGAGCTACCTAGAATGGTGGCCACATTACAACCTGACTGACAGAATTCAGTCTGCACCAAAGAGAGGACTAGACGCATCACACTAGTTACTAGTGTCAAATCAAAGTATACTGTTGTATGATCGAAAATAAAGACTATATACATACATCACATCGTGTGCATCGGTGGCATAGCGGTTAGGACGCTCGCCGATCATGCACATGGTCCGGGGTTCGATCCCCGGCCACAGAAGCACTCCTTTACCTCGCTAAGCTAGAAATAATGCTGGTGAAGAGGAAAGGTTGGGCGTGAGGCTAGCAACCTCATCCTGTAAAATAAACACTGCTACAGAAACGTCAAGCCACTAGCTTGAAGCCCTATGTTCCACTGGGGAACGTGAAGGAAAAAAAAACATACATCACGAATTAGCAGAAGTTGGAATTCATGGACCGTTGGGTCAGGTCCCAGTGGTTGAATGGTCTACGAGCTCGCCTCGTAACCACAAAGCTCCGGGTTCGAACCCCTCTGGTGGGTGCACACTGCTGAAGAGTTCCAGACCAGGACGAAACAGTTGTACACTACTCTCTGTTGGTTTTCCACTGGTTCTCTAAACGTGATCAAAATCACGTAACCGATCAAACCCTTGCAGACTAACACTTGATAAATCAATATGTATCTGTTAAATTAGGAAAACATACCTGTATTGTTGTTATCCCCAGCAACAACACCAACAGACTTGTGATTATTACGTATGCCTTGGATATTCACCATGCCAACATCAACAATATCATCATCATCGTCATCATCATCTAAATCATCAGAGCCTAAACCGAATATTCTGATCATAGTTAATGGACAATAATGTTCTGAACCATAGTGTTCTGTTAATTCAAACTATAAATAAAAAATTTTTAAAGAAAATCAAAAATAGATGTGTAAATAAGAAAACAAAAATCGTTTTTCTCGTTTTCTCCTGAAAAGACTTTCATAAATACTATAAACATGTATTATGCGTAACAGAAATGAATAGAAAGCTATTCACTGCTACATATAATAAATGGAACACATCTTAATCGAATATTACCTAATCATATAATCAATCAAAGGCTTCTAGGTTTATGGCACTTTAATTTCAACAATTTACTCACCACTAATACTTAAATGATATTAATCATATAAACATCAGGTCCCAAAGCAGACACATTATTGTTTAACTATTAGGCTCCAATAGAATAACTTATTGACGACGACAGCTTCTGAATTCCAACCAAGTGACTCAGTGAAAAGGCTGGCTAGCTGTTTTTGATCATAGGTGCCTGCGTTCTATCTCCCGTGTGTGTTAGGCGGTATAATAAATAGGGTAAGTGATAGCTACACGTTAGGCTTCAGTCGAGTGCTAAGTGAGGAGGTGAAATCAATCAATGAGGTCGTGAAGCAGTTACATCGATTGAGTGACATGTGTTACACATACACACCAAGACATCGCCTTCCTCGACGACGGGCAGTGTTAGTTGACTGACATAGGATCAGGTTGGAAAAGAGCTGCGAATGGTGGTCAAACCAAAACATGGCTTCATCAGTCAATCAAATCTTTAGGAGTTACTTTTTAAGCTAGCCTTCCGTATAAGGAGGTATAGACGGTCTGAACTGGTGGTCTCGGAATGGTAAGAATGATAGACGGCTGGAGACAATCAGTGATATGGCTCGAAATCCTCGTTCTCAATGAGTAGCACAGAAGCACTCAATTCTATTGTTCTTCCATACTACTTTTCTTTCTCCCTCATTCACACTTCTGTTTATTATCTCACCCTACTCTCTTCTCTTGCTTTGTGTGGTATAGGGAGGGAGAGTGGCAACTCGAACTGCTGCACATCTGTGCAAAGTTCTACGTTGAAGTCAGTCAGTCAGTTAGTCAACACAGAACGGCATGTGAAAGTGTTCAGAATAAATTATATTAACACTTAAAATAGAGTTTACTTATGTATGGAGCCCTTTTGTTTTTCTACACTCAGAAATGATAGAATACACTATTGACCTTATTAGAAGAAATAGAAATTTTAAGCCGGAATAAAAAAGACTTCACAACATAGTACACATATGTCTTTAATACGCTTCAACAAAGTCATTAGGCTAACAAGAACACGTGCTACATCATTAGTATCACGTGAAATATACTCAAAGTGTATTCTATTGAAAAAAAGAGTAGACACAAAAACAGTGCTGCACAAATTAGAAATACAACAAAACAATATAATTAACAGCAAAATGACGCAAAACTTTTAGACCTTCTGTCTTAGGTTTAAACTTGAATTGTAGTGTTAATCCTTTGAATGTATGCGTGTTTTAACCAATAGATTACACACATTTGAAAGTTATGTCCGTAGGTATTATCATCAGGTGTAAGACAAAAAACACCTGTAAGCCGACTGCTCAATAATATGAGCCTGACACACAGTTACTTAGATGCTAAGTATATAAATAAATGGTGAAGATTTGTAGCTCAGATAGATAATTTTGACTTTGTTGTGTTCTCTGAGAAGGGGGTTGATTTAATTGTGAGGCTTTCGTCGTCCCCCATCTAGACAGCATCACTTCAGCTCTGGTTTTTATTACGAAATGAACTCATTTGATGAATTCTCCATGAATGGTGATATAATGGCTGGATTCAACATAGAACTTGGCACCGAAGTGCAGCAGTTCCAGTTGCCACGTTCCAAAGAGCACACAAAGGTAGACAAGAAAATGAGTGAAGAGAATCAATAGAGTTTAGACAAGCATAAGAGTGAAACAGAATGAGTAATGGTAGAAAGGAATATCAAAGATTACAGAGACTAAATACATCTCCATTGACAACGATTTTGAGCCATGTCACCTATTGCCTCTAGCCATTGATTCTTAGAGTCCCGAGGGCGGGCCCCAACCCGGAAGTCTGCATACGGATCGAAAGCTGCTACCTTGACGTGGTGGTCGGGCTTGCATATCGCAATGATCCAACGAGCTACACTGGCTGGAACTTAAGTTCCTGTAGGTCCTACCATGCCAGAAAGGTTGTTTGGATGGCGATTAGACAAAAAGCAGCTACCCAATCCAATGCCATGACTCAAACAAAATCACAAAATATCATGCCGGATCGGTCGGGGCCCGGATTAACAACGACCGCGCTTCCTGCTGCCGTGTCACAGGGCAGAAGTGATAAATATGCTACTGAGACACACCAAATAAAAAAGAACAAACAAAAACAGGCCGCGTGTGACTGGCCTCTAGCAGTTGTCCCCTGGGCTCTGCGGTCACGCAACCAACTTCCACGGTGTGGGCAGCCGGGAGGTAACAATCGCCCTCACAATCCGAAGTGCACGCGAAACCTCTCTAATCCTCACTTTTTTGTATCCATCTTCATCTCTATTATCTTGCCTTCCTTCTACCAATGCAACTCCTCTACTTGATGGCTCTTCACTTCCTCTTCACTCTGTGTGCACTGATAACGATGGAAGCCAAAAAGCCACCATCGATAGTCTCCTAAAAGGTGATATAATTGCATCTCCTGACAACCATTGTTGTGAATGGTTGTTAATTTACTCTTCTCTATTGGTCATTTTTGTTGACTTCAGATTTGAACTTTCTTGTCATGTGACCTGGTAAATTTGGTCTATAGAGTAATGAGTTTGTTAATTATGGATACACTTGAGTAACAGGCTTCTAGAAATTCCCTGGCATTTTTTGGTTTTCCTTTTATTTAAATAAAGTGTATGAACTACAATAAACATTACACAGGTTAAAATGGGCATCCTCTTCGAATCCGAATCCAAAAAAACATATTAGCTGTAAAAAGGCATGTGATATATATATATATATATATATATTCCTCTTTCATATCAATGCATGTAGATAATTACGGACATCAATTTCATTACGATAATGCAGAAATTTTAAATAGAGGAAACACTAAAAATGCCAGGGAATTTCTAGAAGCCTGTTACTCAAGTGAATCCATAATCAACAAACTCATTACTCTATAGACCAAATTTACCAGGTCACATGACAAGAAAGTTCAAATCTGAAGTCAACAAAAATAACCAATAGAGAAGAGTAAATTAACAATCATTCACAACAATGGTTGTCAGGAGATACAATTATATCACCATTCATGGAGGGAGAATTCAAATGAGTTCATTTCGTAATAAAAACCAGAGCTGAAGTGATGCTGTCCAGATGGGGGACGACGAAAGCTTCGTAACTAAATCAACCAGCTGCCCGTGAAACTATATGGGATAATCTTGGATTGACAGACTGATGTAATCGATGATCATTGGAGGGGATATAGAATTATGAGTGGCAATGACACTCAATCAAACAGCACTAGCTATCCGGAGACACGGATTTCTATTTCACACTCTTTTGACTTTCAATTAATGGAACTTGGGTTTAAAACCCTTTCCGCTTACTTTAGTTTGGGCATATGAGTAACATCAGCTCTCACAGAATAAGTGTGTCCTGATACATGGGAAAATCTATTCTGTGTAGTCCTCAAATACCAGTGACTACTGACATGATTATATATATATATATATATATATATATATATATATATTACAACACTTCCACTTTGGCTCGAATAGATCAATAAAATTATTAACTATAGAATCAGGTCACAAAATTGATTTTGACAATACTGAAATAATTCAGAAAAATTTCAAAAATCACAAAGAATGTCTAATATCATCGGAAGCACTTCATATCAAATGGAAAGCGAATTGTTTGAATAGGAATGATGGACTAAAACAGAATTCGACCTGGTTACAACACCCACCCACCCCACCCCCGGGGAAGAAATGACAAAATCAACACGAATGTGTTAAGCGATTTCATTATGTAAACACATGCTGTATTTATAATTTTATACACTTATCAAATCCAACAATCTACACATGGCTTTGTTATCTGTATGCAATTGGCCAACTTGGCAACGTAAAAATTACCCCATGCTGAAGAATGATGATTAAGTTAATATTTCATAAATTCAGGTTTAATAATACTTTGATAAAGCTATTAGTAGAACTAAATAGCGAAACGTCAAAAGTAAAAAGCAATATCGTTCATTGTTTGTTTTTTTCATTCATTGGGAAATACAAAAACTTTTATAATAATGAATAGCATATACCTAATGCCCACATTTTTCAAATTGTTAAAAGTGAACTTGGTTTGGACATTAACTTTAACATACAATGAAAGCATAATTATTTTCTTTTTTCTTTCCTTCACGTTCCCCAGTGGAACATACGGCTTCAAGCTGGTGGCTTGAAGTTTCTGTAGCAGTGTTTATTTTACAGAATGGGGTTGCTAGCCTCATGCCCAACGTTTCCTCTTTACCAGCATTATTTCTGGCTCAGCGAGGTAAAGGAGTGCGTCAGCCGGGGATCGAACCCCGGACCATATGCATGGTCGGCGAGCGTCCTAACCGCTATGCCACCGACGCAAAGCATAATTATGCGCAGTTGATAATCTACTGTATAGATTTATAAACGATTACGTCAACATATTGTGCGCCAGTAGCTCAGCAGTAGGATGCTCGCCGACCCCATTCATGCGGTCCAGGGTTCGATCCACTGGCTGGCGTACATCTTCACCTCACCTCCCCTAGCCAGTTGTAAGCCTGAAAAACATTGGGAAGGTTGGGCATGACGCCAACAACTCCACCGTATAAAGGAAAAAACCATTTTTACTGAAACGTCAAAGCTGACGCTTGAGGCCCTATGTTCCACACAAAACGTAAAGGAATTTTTAAAAAAAATTTTTTAAACATCAATATATCAACCTACCTTGATATATTTGATCATTTTTCCACTTGTTACACTAAAAGACTGTATACCTTTAACATCTCGAGCAGTGAATGTACCAATCAACTCCCATGACTTTGCTGGATATCTATAAACAACAGTATGGGTGTGTGTGTCAGGAAAGTTTAAGTTCTCTCATTAAATTATTCAGTGATCAAATTATAGTTAATAAAATCTTTTTTTCTATTTTATGAAAAATAAAACGCTTCCTGGAAAAGTAGAATGGAAGAGATTGTACCTAGAAATCTTCAACTTGAAAATGAAAGCTAAACTATCTGGAAGAAATCACACACACACACACGTACACCGCCAAGTTAGGGAAATCTTCAAATTTCTACTAAATGCAAAACTTTATTATTATTATTATTATATTTATTCTTCCCTTGGGTTCCTAGTGGAACATAGGGCTTCAACTGCACGCCTCCACTTGTTTCTGTCTTCTGCTGTACTTTTCACCTGCGTCCATGTTAGCCCATACTGTTTCAACTCCTCTTCACACGATCTCCTCCATGTCACCCTTGGACGTCCCACTCGCCACTTCCCTACCGGGTTCCACTCGAGCGTTGGCCTGACGCGCGATGTCACCCAGCGGCCTCCTCAGCCAGTGAGTGTCCAATCCATCTCCACTTTCTCCTGCATATTTGTTGGGCGATTGGTTCTTGTTTTGTTTGTTCCCATAGTTTCTTGTTGGTGATTCTTTCCGGCCATCTGATCTTCAGTATAGAACGAAGACAGCTGTTGATAAAGTTCTGCAACCTGTTGGAAATGTTCTTTGTGACTCACCAAGTTTCTGATCCGTATAGAAGAACTGACTTGACGTTTGTATTGAAAATCCGAATTTTGTTGTTGACGCTGAGTGACGAAGATTTCCAGATTGGTTTCAAAACTTTATATTCTACACTATTTTTTTTTTAATTTTATTATAGCTTGACTCCGCACAGTATTTTTGATACAAATATTTTCAGCATGTGATATCAGTGGCCCAAATTTAGCAAGCCGACCACTGATATCGGGTGTGCGTCGGCCAGGGATCGAACCCCGGACCATGTGCATGGTCGGTGAGCGTCCTAACCGCTGTGCCAGAAATGGCACTCAACATCCTTGATAGAAGTATCACACTTGACAGATTTATGCTGATGTATACCAATTGAAGACACTTCAGGTATCCTTATCCATGACCCTAAAAGGGATCAGACCCAGAACTATGAGGCGCCTAGACTAGAGGCAAACAAATGCCCATTAGCCTAAGCAGACTGAAATCTAGTGCCCCAACTGCAATCTATCACGGCTTGAGAAATAATACAACCATTGTCTGATGTCAGTAGTAAGCAAGCGTCTTTAGCAGATTTGGTTGAAGTAACTTGACCCCCCCCCCACCTTTGGGTTCGAACTCTCCTAGGATCATGAGTAAGTGCTTTTCGAGAGTCACCAATTTAAGATGCAGTAGATTTTCAATACACCTTGGTTTATGCTAGACTGGTTATCAAATGAATTCAAAAAGATACTGTTTAATTATCTCTAGAAATTATAATTTAATAGTGAGTCAGTAATATACTGTGAACCAGAAAACTTATTCTCTAGCTCTTTAAGTAAGTAAGTCCACATTACTAAACAGCTTAACATCAGAAAAATATACAACATACGCCTTATAGATTGATGTATAAGACATAAACAAATCTTGCAAAGGAACAGTCAACGCTCAGACAGGTTTGTTTACTATATTTATCATCTCATACAAGCACGACAATAGCTCCTTCATTTATCAATTAGGCTTAGAAAGGACAAAGTGGAACTATCATAGTCAAGACTACAGTGACGTTGAACAATCAATCACAATTCAGAAGCAAAAAAATCACATAATCGTTGAAAAATACACTAAAATATATATTGCAAACATGATATTACACTGTAAAGCGGTAGCTTATGTGTGTTGTAAGAATGTCTCCCAGTCACTACACCAATGATCTATGGAGAAATCATACCATACGCGATATATCCATTCATCCTGGTGACTGAAGGTTATAGTAATTTGAGATTTATTGATATTTCTGATACTATTCTTCAACCTACACCTAACTCTAAACATAATCCTAACTCCTAATCCTGACTTTAGCCGTAAACCTTAGTATTAAAAAGCCATCAACCTACCTAACAGTATAAAATTGCAGAAAAAGAACCTAGAAAAGAAGTTCAAAAAAGCAGGCAGAATGTCATTTCATAGCATTCCCTGTACATGATTAGTTCTTGAAGGTCAACTTCTGAAAGACCTTGGTTTTGGCTATGAAACTTTAACTTTGCCTTAAAAAATTTTATGAAGCTGAAGTAATCAAAACAAACAATAAGGTGATATCCGTCTGCATGTCTACTGAAGATTTATCACATATCGATCGAAGCACATCAACCTCCCCCTTGATGACTACAGTAACATGAATGACAACAGGAAGAAAGTTATTGAATATTAAAACCTGTCGTCCAGTGTAGTACTCAAAATACAGTTTAGAAAAGAAAAACAAAACAAAGAAATGAATGGTTTGATAAGGATCAGTATAGTCGACTGTTAAACTTGAACCAGAAGTTCATAACCACATACTACTACTACTGCCTGATATATGTCTGATTTCCCACAAACTGGAAGATATGCAAGCGAAAAGCAACAAGTTGGCAGAAGAAGCATCCAGAGAAGATATGACTTCCTTCAGGTGAAAATAGAGAAAACAGGGGTGATGAACATTCCTGGGCAACACCACCAACAGCAACAACAACAGACAACGATCAGCATAAATGGAAGGAACCTGAAAGAAACAACTTTTAACTATCTGGGAAGCATCATTTCAACTACAGGTGGATGGAACTGACGAGGATATCAAAGCAGCGAGGATTGGAAAAGTAAGACAAGCTTTCACTACTCTCAAGTCTGTGTGGAGGTCAACAGCACTCAGCATCAAAAGAATAAGATCCGGATTTTCAACTCCAATGTGAAGAAAGTCACTGCTAATATACGGATCAGAGACTTGCACTACGCGTCATAAAGAGCATCTCAAACTAACTACAGACCTTTATTAACAGTTGTCTTCGCTCAGTACTACTCAAGATCAGATGGCCAGAAAAGATCAGCAACAGGGATCTCTGGGCAACAAATAGGCAGGAGGAAATGGAGATGGATTGGCCATACTCTGAGGAAACAATCCATCAAGTGACATCACTAGACAAGCCATTGCTTGAGTGGGACCCGAAAGGGAAGCGGAGAGTTGGTCGTCAGTGCAAGGGTGACTTGGAGGAGGTCAAGTGAAGAGGAGATGAAAACGTGTGGGCAGACTTGGACCCAGGTGAAGACTCTAGCAGAGAACCGAACGCAATGGAGACGCACGGCTGAAGCCCTATGTTCCTCTAGGAATTAAAGGAAACAATAATAATAATACTCAACCCTTTAAGTTTAACAATCTTTCAATCCATACCAATTTGTAGTCCGTCATAATAACTAATTGAAATAAAACAGATGAGTATTCAAAAGAAACAGTATAATAAAAAATATATATCGGATTTTGATTTTTATTCAGAAATTAGCTTACCGATCACTAGCATAAACTCTGAAAGACTTCAATCGAGATGAGAACAATTCAAAATTTGCCAATTCTATTGTTCTCAGTTGAACAGGCTGACAAACTTCTAAGATTAACCTGTAAAAATGTACATGGAAATTCCTCTTTATTATGTAAGAAGTTTATGCAAAATATTTCAAAATCAAGTTCAACAATTATATTGAAGGATTTATATGCAGAATGAGGCAGACTGACTGACTGACTGACCTAAGGGACATGTAATCACAACAACAAAAATAACAAAATAGTAACACTCTTCGGGTTACAGTTACGTTAATGAACAAGCAAAACTAGGCGAAAAGTATTCAAGTCGAATGTTTAATGACCATCAGTTACACTTATTTCTAGTGAATTCAGACAAGTATTTCGTGAATTTATTCTCCTCACCTCAAAAAGTACGACGTAAGCTCCATTTCTCAATCAGACTTAAAAAGTTACGGAGTTGAAATAATTCAAAAAAAAAAGAAACTGATAAGGTGACATCTGTTTGAATGTCTAGTGAAGATTTATCATATCTAATAAAGCATCATATCTTCGCCCTTTGACAGATTCAGGAACATAGGCCTACTCACCGACGTCTAGGAGTCGTCAAACTTCTTGACCTGAAAGCGGCATTTGATTTGGCGCCGAGGAAATACACTGCACTGATCAAGGCACTCACTCTACCCGAACTCATGCCGTCATCCAGATGAGAGCCTACAGGGAGTTGTCATCTGAATTGGTGACAACTAGTGGTATCCGACAGGGATGCCCACCATCACTGTCCTAAGTGGCTTCAGTGACCCAGGGATCGACTTGTTACCAGGGAATAATCTAGGTGACTTGGAATATATGGATGATATAGTCCTTCCTCCTAGGTGAACACGCTGATAAATACAGCAGTTTTACACCTTGAGAAGCAGTGATCTTCGAATGTTTGGCATGCGATTTGCTCCTGCTATCCAAATGTAAGATAATGAGGCTATAGAACTGAACTGCATTGACTCCTAGCTGGCTTAAAGATAGGCAGGAGTGAAGTGGTGGCTGAGCGTGTTGACCACTTCACTAATTTGGGAAGTCACATCAGCCAGCCCAGTGGGTTGATCGTTGAAGAAACCTTAGCATAGATACAGAAGCCTAGTTTGGCATTTGCCAACTTATACCACCTCTCGCTTAGTAGACGTGATGTTCGGCTGGTTATCGATCAAAGGATGTGTGGGCATATTGCTCACCAACACTTTGCTCCGTCCTCCTTTATGGCAGTAAGTGAGACATGGCCATTGAAAGTGGATCGCATGTGAAGCCTCGCTAGCTGTATTTGGGATTAAGTGCTTGCATTCTATCTTGCATGTGTGTTAGGTGGTATAATAGGGTAAGTAATAGTGACAAAAGGGTTTGGTCGAGTGCTAGGTAAGTAGGGGGAAATCAATCGAAGGGTTCTGAAGCAGTTAAATCGATTGAGTGTGATGGTTAGGACATGTGTTACGCATCAATGCCTAACCATCGCCTTAATCGACGACGGTTGATGTCAGCTGACGTAAGATGGATCGGGTTGGGAAAGAACTAGCTTGGTCAAACCAAAACATGGTTTCATCAGTCAATCAAATCCATAACAGTTAATTTAAGCCAACCATAAAGGGATGTGTAGACTGCCTGAATGCTTGGCGTCTTCGGAATTGTAAGAACCAATGAAGGCTGGCGACAATCGATGATATGGCTCAAAATTTTCGTTCTCAATGAAGCGCAGATGTCTTCACTCTTTGTCAATTATCATATCGAATAAGACTCTACTGTTCTTCCATCATATTACTAACCGTCTTCCCCCATTCACACTTCTATTTATTATCTCTCTATTGATCAGTCTCGCTTTCCTCTCTTTCCTTGTTTTGTGTGTTTCAAAGAGGGAGTGTGGCGATTTAAACTGCAGCATATCTGTGCACAGTTCCATTTTGAAACCAGTCAGTCAGAATTTATCTCCTATCAATTTGTTAATAGAAGAGAAAGAGGCACTCTTTCTTGGATCCGACAATTTTTATCTCGTCAAAAGGCATTTCTCACTTAACCATCGATGTTCAGTTTGAAAATCTCCATGATCTATTCAGTCGCCTAGTTCCTACCTCTTCCTTCAGACAAACAAAGACAGCTGAAGGCTAAATCAGTTGATATTGTCGACCAATTCAGTAATTCAAGGTCCAAAACAAAAAGGGCATTATGACTTCGCAACAACTCATCGCCCTGAGACAACGAAGTTACAGATCTGAAATAATTATTGTTATTACTATTATTATTATTCTGAAACTTAACGAAGGATCACTCGTAGCTGTAATAAATAGATATGATTATTATTGCTAAAATAGTATCCATTTTCGCGGTAAGAGCAAATCCATGATAGGTTTTATCAGATTATGTAGGGAAGAAGAAAAAAGTAACCTTTAATCTGGCAAAGCTCTGCAGTATGAATAATATTAATAAAAGGAGAAATTTGATTCGTTAAAACCTACAGAATCTGAATCTCTAAATATTTTTCGATTTACTAAGATGCATGTAAGTGATACCTTCTGATTAACTGGCTTCAACATAGAACCTTGCACAGATGTGCAGCAGTTCGAGTTTGAGGCACAAACAACGAAAAGTTAACGATATTTGTTACCCACCCTTTTTAATTTTAAAAGTATCACTTAATCAAACAGTGTACACACTTTCTTATTTTTTCTTTATTTTTGATTACAGCTTGATTCCACACCACATTTTTGTTACAAGTATGGAATTTTCAGCATGTGATATCCGTAGCCTAAATTTTGCAGGCCGACCATAGATATCAGGTGTGCGTCGGCAGAGGATCGAACCCCGGACCATGTGCATGGTTGGCGAGCGTCCTATCCGCTATGCCACATGAATGAATCCGAGATCTAATAAAGCAACCCGAACTGTGTATGTGTTTATGACTCAGGACTTAATACTATGCCTACAATTGAAAAACGAAAAGGTTGATTATTGACTACCAGAATATTAGGAATGTAAAACGCCTGTCTTGGTAAGGTTAAATGAATTTGTATATACCTATTCTGCAAATATAATAGACAGGCGTCAGTGCTTAACAGCAGCGCTACACAGGATGCTGTAAAATAACTTCTGAGAGTGAAGTGCCTTTCAGGGACAATGCTTCAGAGTTAACTGTATTTAAATATCTAGTAGTGAACCCTGTATCTCACAGATATAAAGTAACAACTAAATGCAGTCAAAAATGAAATATACACTGAGCAAGAACAGCAATATACTCACCACTTCTCTTCACTACACGGCACATTCATGTATTCATCATTATTCTCATTAAGTACAGCCTCTGGATTTTTAATAGCTTTACTAGAACCTAACATTTTTGCACCACAAGCTATAGAAGCAACATTTCTTCTCAGGGTTACATCACCTTTGTTCGGTGTGTGAACTGTTGTCCTGGTGGCTATCGGTTCAGGAGTAACAGGAGAATTCCCCTTTGAATTTTTGTCATCGTCAGGCACTGAATCTGAGCTTCCCTTCAACGATTGATATTGTTGTTCTAAGTGTGAATCAGTCTTTACACTATTTGAAGGTATATTGCTACTGTCTGTTGCAACTGTGCCATCTAGTGCTTCTTTGATGCCATGACCTTTTAAGGTTTTGACTGAAGGATTAGTATCGATATGTGCTTGCGATGCTTTGTCTGATGTTTGAGGATCCAATGTATTTTTGATGCTCTCCTTGGCGTCTAGAACATATTCGGATTTAGGCACACTGTCTTCGCCAACTTCTGTAGTTAAGTAAATGTATGTAAAGGAATATAGAGTAGGGTAATTATATATATATATATATATATATATATATATATATATATTCATATGCTGTTTCAGAGTTCACAAACTTATAAAATTTTAAAGAAATAAATAATGAATGGAATACAACAGAAAAGTTGTACAGAAGTTGCTACTAGTTGTGCTCATCCTCTTGCCGTGAGACAGTGATAGCCTTCTGATTTAAATCTGTCCTGTGGCAAGCGGGTTCTGAGGACGAGAGAGATTAACTGCTGTATGATGTCATTAGTATATTACCCTTTTAAATGGTCATAGTTGAAATCAATTTTCTTCCTCATTTAAGTATGAAAGAATTAAGAGATATACATATCCTAAGAGCAAGGCAATCGATCTTGCCTACACCTTTTAACTGTTAAAGGGAACGTTTTATTGAAAGCGAAGATGGCATTCCTATAAGGACGATTTGCGCAAGGATGACACGTAAAATCGTGTAGTGTAAGCGAATTTGTCTAAGTGTCTGTTAAGGAGAACTGTCACTAATAATCCGTCAGGGATGGCCCCTATCCCCATTTCTATTCAATTCCACCATAGATGTACTAGCGGAATTCACCCTAACTGACTTCAGCGACTCAGGGATTGACTTGTAACCAGGGAATAATCTCGTTGACTAAGAATATACAGATGATATAGTCCTCCCTCCTAGTTGGACACTCTGACAACATTCAGCAGAGTCTTCTGAACACCTTGAGGATAAGCGATCTTCGAATGTTTTGCATGAAATCTGCTCCTGCTAGTGGGCATACCTGACGGCTGACCCCCATAGCTAGTGACGACAGCCTAGTTGATTTGCAGTTGTTGTTTTTTTTTCAATGAGCATATGGAAATTTCCACTGCCTGTACTATATTCAAACTGAATAAACAAAGGAAACGTTTTCAATCCTAAACAGAAATAATATCACATCGAATTCATTGGGTACTGAAAATATACTGAAGAGATTTCAAATAACTGGTGGATAATAAAGCAGAAAGCTAAGGAAGCCATATAACTAGAATGCAATACCATTAAACGAACCTTGACTTTTGCGAGGCTGAGCTCCTTCAGAAACCATAGCATGAAACTCATTGAAAGTTGGAATTTCATGGGTATTAATGCTCTCTGCAGCTACCGAATCCAATGATGGTAGTTCCGTCAATATTGATCCTTTAACATCTTCATGAACAGATTTGACTGGTTCTTGCAAATTAGTAGAAGATTTGGATCCGTCTGAAGTAACCTTGTCTGTAGACTTCTGACTGTCTAAAGAAACCAATGGCTCAGGAATGACTGGCTGATTGACATGCATCTCTTCAATATCCGGTGTAACATTAGGTGTCTGAATAATATTATAAGCGATTAAGATAGTTGCAATGAAAACAAGAATGCACAAAATTTTTCAAACAATTAATGTTTTAGAATGCTTCAATATGCATAACTTGTTCAAAAAGGCTTATCACTTTGGGAACTCAATGACTACTAAGTCAAGAGGTGTGGTTAATTGGTTTAAATATTTAGATTTCAACAAATGCGTCTCAGGACAAGGGTTGACCCTACTTAAATAGGTTCGGGAAAGTGCTAGGCATCGTAGATCATGAAACTGATTCGCTTCATTTTCTTAAACTAAGAAGTAATCCAAAACTATCCATCATTGATGTCTCTGCCCTCTGTTGAAATATGCCTTCAATCTATGTGGACAATGTGATATTACAAACTCAGAGTTTTTGCCACAGACATTTTGTATCCTTTTTTCAAATAACTACACTTCACACTAGCATGAGGACACCCACAAAGGGAACGGAGAAATAAAAGTAATGAGGGGCTACTGGACCAGCACATCTAGTTGAAGACGAAATGACGGCTTATACCTCTCCATGCCACAAGCGAAATCAGAATTTATAGACTGATGTCTTGATCAGACAACCATTATCTTCCCTCTAGTTCCTGCATATGACCAAACTTGTATATGTGAGGTGTGACAAACAAAATTCCCATACAATGACAGATCTCAAAATAACGCCTATGCTCACCTCCCTTGTTGCATTAACTATTAAAGCCATGCATCTATTGCGTACGGAATCGGATTCAATTTTTAAAATGACTCCTCTATGAGAAATGGGGGAACTCTGTTACATTACATAAAAGAGGAACATCCCGTGTAAATCAAGCAGTCTGTATATTTAAATGCAAAAATTGTTAATAAATTAAAGAATTCAGACATTTCATTCAGATTGGTTAAGTTGATTCATAATTATTATATAATTACTGTTCTTGGTAGCGTCTATTATTCTCTAACCCTACCAGCTTAATAAATACTAACTTGACTATATTGTGGGACAATTTCACCACCCGGTGATTATCGTTCCAACCCAGTTATCATGAAATCAGTGCATATGGAGAGCAACATAGGTGTGACACAGCATGGAAAAGGAATTAAAGACATTTTCGTCAGATTTTTCGAAGTGTTCGTGTGTTTCACAGATGATATATCACACATAATAAATCTTCAGTACCACTGACTCGGTTTGGTCTATCGGTTATGTAACAATATATGGTTAGAAATCACGAGATTCTACTGAAGTTTGTACATAACTCTAACCACCTAACCCTAATATCTATTTAGTATCATACTGCTGATTTTAATGAGTCAAAATGAGTAAAAAACAATACTAAAGTGAACTCAATAAAGGCAAGTAGTACACCTATAGCACTTAAGACCACATTAAACAATCGACATTCATTACCGCTTTGATTAATGTGTAGGCAAAGCACCTAAAAACTGATAACGGACGTTAAAATATAAGCAAAAAGCTAGGCGTTAAAATATTCTTCAAGAACCGAAGTTATATAGCATCTTATTAGACTTACTTCCGACTCACTAGATCTGGGTACATCTTCGATGGAGCTGAAAGCAAAGGTAAGCATAAAGATAAGTATCAAGAAACCTACCCATTAACAATGACTTCGTGATGTGACTCTGACCTGTCAGTGAATTAAAGTTATATAAATGACGACTTACGGGACACTGCGTGCTATGTCATCATCCTCTGGCTGATTACGACTCTTAAGAGCCACGTTAACAACAATAAGTTGGGAATGGATAAGTAAAAAACTAGAAGGATACCTTGATAAAGTAGAAATTCATGAACAAACCACAAAATGACGCAAAAACCTCCCATCTATCATCCGTAATGCGGGAAAATTGAATTGTTCAAGGTCACAAAGGAGATTAGTTAAAAAGCTTACTAAAACTTAAATTTGACTACATCATATCTTCACATTTCCAGGCTATGGTACTACAAAAATGTTAAATTTTCAGTTTTGGAAAGAGATACCTTATATAGAAGTCCGAGTTTTTATAGCTTGTTGCCAGAGTTTCAGCTTCAGATTCAGATTATAAGGATAGAATGCTCTTGTTGCCTATGTTAATCCTCGCGATATATATCTCTGCAGGGATCCAGTTCCTCTTTGGAAGCATTCACCAATGCAGCTGTTACTCCTGAATCAGGTATGCAGTTCCAGTCGTTGACCACTCTGTGAGAGAATCTAAACTCCAAACGTATTTTATTCGACCTCGGTTTGAGCACCTTCTTGTGGTGACCTCGTAAATGTATCCTAGAGGGAGAGAAAAGGTTTGAAAGGTCAATCCCTACATCACCCTTCAATATACGGTAAGCCAAAATTATGTTGATTCTCCTTCTTCGGTATGATAATGGGAAGAGATTTAAATGCTCCATCCTCATGTCATAAGGAAGGTGTGAGATATCACTAACTAATTTCGTTCCTACCATCTGTTCTCTTTCCAGGATACGTGCTTCCTTTCTGAAGCATGGACTTGCCGCTCGTATGCGGTATTCTCGATGAGGTCTGACATACGTTGCATAGAGTACTTGGAACATACACTCATCTAATCGCTTGAAAGCACTTCGAATTGCCCATAGCATTCGAAAAGCCTTAGCTGCGGCTCGATTACAGTTTACCGTTGTTTTTTTGTCATAACTTACAATAATTCCTAGGTCTGGAAATCACCGAAAAGATATCTTCGCTGAACTTCTTATTCTTCTCAATTCCTAGGTCCTTTTGTCACGTAACATCTGGCAGTTCTGTGTCCCCCATGGAGTACGGTGTGTAAGAATTGTGACCTAGGTGATGTAGGATTAATTTTGCCTACAAATTTAGTCCTTGGATTTAGAGTCTTGGCTTAACTATAGTTAAAACAGAGGGACTTGACTTAAACTTTATCTGTTTCTAAAACATAAAATAAATCATACAATTACACCAAGAAAAATATATAAACCCATTGTCACTCAAGAGAAGACAAAAACATACCAAACAGTATTGAGGGAACGGACAGAATGAACAGTTAATTAATTGCATGTACACACAAATAAAGTGATAGAAAACAAAGAACACTCAAGGTCACATCGCGTGTTGTAAGTTTACATCAAATTAACCAATAATCATGACAAAAAGGTAAAATCATATTGATTGGCTGTCTGTCATACAGTCTATCTATCTGTCGCGATTAACAGGTGAATTATCGCGCTTTTCTTGAAATTAGTTTCCAGACTTCAAAGGTTAGCTCATTTTTCTAATTTATCTTCCTGGTTGTCCATTTTATCTTTAATGTATAGTATAGTTTGCTGTTGATAAGAGCCTTCAGTGACCTGTTGGAAACGCTTTCGTGACATACTGGTCAAGTTTCTACCCCATTAGAAGAACTGACTGACTTAACATTTGTGTTGAAAATGCACTTGTAGGTATTCGAGTTCGTGTGACATGAGACGCATCATCTGGGAAATACAAATCTTCTAGGGTCTCTTTATCGTGGTCCAGCGTATTCCTGTCTCTTCCTTCCCGATGCACGGTCTGATGCATGATCCAATCCACCACAATTAGGAATATCATCATGAGTGATAATAGACGGGTAACCTAATGCTGCTCCGGCATTCACTTCGAACACCTCGCTAAGTTTTCCTTTGTGGATCACTTTACACGTGACATTGTCATTTAGCCAGCTTGTGAATGAGGTTGACAAAGACTTGAGGTACGCCATAATGTTGAGTTAGTTTCCAAATTACATCATTGTCAACATTGTCGAAGGCCTTTCGGAAGTCGATAAATTTGCGGTAGTAGTTTGGCTGCCACTTTGTGCTATGTTCCATGATGATAGTAATGTACAGAGCTGTAATTTTATCAGCAAATGATCTGTCTTTTCCAAATCTATCTTGTTCCAGTGGTTGGTGGAGTTCTGATTGTTACCCATTGACTCACATACACGATTTAACGG